TTGACACATTGAAATGTCAGGCAGTTGGCGACAACTGATAATGTTGTGTAACTAATATTGCGCAAGATTCCATACTCAAGACACATGCTCAAAGCGCTACATCATTAACCTGGACAATGGACCAGTATGTAGTCGATAGTCTTTCTCAGCTCCCTGGGAAATATACATCCCATTAAAGGTTAACAGTGACAAACGCTTCTTATCCTGTCGTCTATAGAGAACCGTGTGACTAATGATGATGATGATGATGATGACGACGGTGACCAGTAACCTATATGCTTTATCACTTGCGCAAAGTATATGTACACAGACGGTCATTAAGCTATCAGGTGAATGAAGTGTGAAGAGCGAGTGAGTGAGCTTGTTTTTACCCCGCTTTTAGCAATATTCCAGAAACATCACGGCGGCGGACACACCAGAAATGGTCTTCACACATTGTACCCATGTGGGACATCGAACCCGGGTCTTCGGTGTGACGAGCCAACGCTTTAATCACTGGGCTACTCCACCGTCCCTAAGTGTGAAGATGTCTGATGAAGCTCAGTTGAGGTCTGAGTCTCTAATTACAGCATCAATGTGACAGCACCACGTCAGATAGTTTGCAATTTTTGGTACTGTTGCAGAATTCATATGGCGTACCAATACCGAATGCTTCGAGAAATCACATCGACAAAAGTTTCCTTATGGGCTCATGATTACGATTCTGAACTCATGGTAATCTAATAAGGTGAGGTCAAGTATTATGTATAGGGTTCACTGTTACTGTATTTAAATAGGTGCGTGGAGGCGGGGTAGCCGAGTGGTTAAAGCGTTCGCTCGCCACGTCAAAGACTCGGTTCGATTCTCCCATGGGTACAACGTGCGGCGCCCATGTTTGGAGTGATAAGGGTGTCACATTGCTGGCCCAGTGCTAAACGTGGCGTTAAACCCTAATTAGATAGCGACTTTCACGAACGTTCTGAGGCCTTGAAATGAATGAGTTGGATTTTAGCAATATTCCAGCAACATCACGGCGGGGGACACCAGGAATGGCCTCACATTGTGTACCCATGAGGGAATCGAACCGGACCTTCGGTCTGACGAGCGGGCGCTTTACCTGCTGGGCTACAACACCGGCCCCTCCGAGGCCTTTGATGTCACAATTTAACACTGATGCTCCCCTCAGACATCATATATTTACTGCCTCCAAGTCGAACAGCCCCGTTAAGCCAACCATCAGGCAACAACAACATCGATTTCACGTATAACGCGTATGGACCCACCAGCTTTAGGCTCACTGATCACCTTCCCGGTCCGCTGGGCTACTAAGGCAGTCGTTGATGTTCGGGGGCTCCTTTCACGAAGCAACCTTTACTAAGGTTAACCTTACCTCCCATTCTTTAAGATTGCATTAAGGTTACCTTAGTGACTTACGATCACCGTGCTTCGTGAAAGGAGGCCCAGGATGCCGGTGTACAACACAGCCCTAGCGCTAAGAGTACCTTGAATCGATGTTAAGGTATGGGAGGTACGGTCACCTTAGCGCTAAGAGTACATGTACCTTAAATCGATGTTAAGGTATGGGAGGTACGGTCACCTTAGCGCTGAGAGTACATGTACCTTAAATCGATGTTAAGGTATGGGAGTTACGGTCACCTTAGCTCTGAGATCGCCTTGTACAACGGCACCCAGATGTCAACATGTATTAAAGTCATGGTTTACTCAAAACGAACTCGTGATAACATAAATACTGATTAGATCATCTGATGGGCGAACGTAATAACTTAATAAAATCATAGAACCCATATTAAAATGTAGGCAAAACATATATGAAAGTCCACATTGGTTGAAATATGTTTGTTTTAAAATGCCAATCGAATAAAATAAATCATATGGAAAAGTTAATTACATTATCAATAATGGTGTGCATTAAAAATCCCATACGACACAAACACCTGCGACAATTTGAAGACTGTGTATAACCTGGCTCCATTGACCTTGTTCCAATACAGCACCTCACATCGCCATAAATAACCAGGCCTATCCCTTATATTACTCTTGGTGATTATGATTTATAGCTACTTGTATGTTCCTTCAGTTTAACAGACCAGTAAAACCAAAAACATATCTGCCCGTTTTGAAAATCAATATCAAACGAGGCTCCCGGTCGCGTCTCTACCCATGGGTAGTACAACAGAGATAGTTTGTACGCTGATCTAGCATTGGGATCAATGACATTAGAGAAACTTCGTTGAATTACTGACTCGTGAAAATACAACAAATTGGCATTGATTAATCTAGTGCTTTTTTATGTATCGGTGATATTTTACAACAGACTAATTTAAGATTTGTTGTAGTTAATCAACATTACTTGTAAAAAGAATATCAAACGGAATTATTAATAGGTTAAACTGGTATCACTCCATTCAGTTCATCACAACTCCGTGTAAACGTTCCTAATTATTATGAATTGTTATTATTGGTAATATTTATTTAACCTAACTTCTATAAATACTTAGGCTGTCATACAGTCAGTGCAGAATGTGAGTATTGTTTCACTAGTAATGATCGCATTGACGATATATCTGCTTTTTATCTGATAAATATTCATAGATGTAGCGAAAGGCATTGAACTATAATAGGGCAGCATTCTTATTTTTGTGTTTCTCATCGCCCGACCCTTCTAATTTTATTGCCCCCCCCCCCAAAAAAAAGGCCAAAAAAAAAAAAACAAAAAACCAAACTTTTTTTTTCATTTCAACAACGCCGACTCGAACCTAAAACGTACCGCCTCGTCATACAAATTTTTTATTAATCTAAAATGTTTTAATCAGTCGCTGACACAAGTCCAAAGAACGCGAGAAATTATAATAAGAATTACAATCAATGGGAATCAAGAACATTACATGTATTCGGATAATTTTCTCTTTATTAAGATTTTATTTTTTATATTTTTCCCCGACCGACCGACGATGTTCCGAACTTGGTGCCTACGTGAAACACATAAAAAGTGATGCCTATATTTGAACTCTGAACGTAGCACCAACACGCTAAACGCATTAACGAATGAGTTGTTCGTGTCATTTAATGTTAAATTGTTTATTGTGAATGGTGGAATATTATTTCAAAAGTTCATGCGAAATGCAAAGCCTTTCTCACTTTATGAAATTCATAAATAAACAAAGGAAGGATGGAAGTGAAAAGATGCTGTAAAAAGGATGAACAGCCAATCCTTAAACCGATTTATCTACACATCCGTCATCAGCTGTGACGCCACAGTATGGAACATCCCTTGATATATGTCACTTGTACATACACAGCTTGATGCCGTGAAGCGTCAGGCAGCCCGGTTAATGTACTGGGCAATGTTGTCCTACCGTGCTGTGATTGGTCGCCTGGTCCGTATCTGGACCAATGAAATCGAAGAATATAACGCATCTTCAGTATATAATCCGCTATCAGTCCCAGGGTAATTTATTCCATGGAGACAATATTCAAGGTTCATCTTTCTCAACAACAATCAGCCCGGACGCGAAGTGCAGGTATTGATGCGTGTTGTCCATTGTGTGTGGAGTTACCGTTTAGAATGTTTTTAGCTCTTTTCGATTTTGTCTTTTGTTTCATGTTAATTCTGAAGGGATTATCTCGATGGAAGCAGGTACTCTTACGTAGTGATGATTTTATGATATGAATGAGAGTGCAGAAAAGGTTTTTTCATTTTCACCTATTTTTTCAGGACACGTAGCATGTCCAGTGGTCGATTGTATGACCAACGTATATTTTCTGCATTGGTTGTAACGTTGGTTGGTTGTTTAACGCCGCACTCAGCAATATTCCAGCTATATGGCGGCGGTCTGTAAATAGTCGAGTCAAACAATCCAGTGATCAACAGCATGCGCATCGATCTACGCAATTCAACCAAGTCAGCGAGCCTGACCACCCGATCCCTTTAGTCGCCTCTTACGACAAGCATGGGTTGCTGAAGACCAATTCTAACCCGGATCTTCACGTGTCCTGTCTGTAACGAACCAAAAATATGTTTTCCTTCTAGAGACAACCACCTCCATCCGAAAAGACAAACACTAAAAACGTCAAAATTGGGAACTGAATTGGACATCATTTTTGTCACATTGTGACATATCCTCGTTTATGTACCATAGAAGCTTTTCAAAGCTGTGCTGAGGGGGAACAGCAGTAGGGGTTTGTAAATGATTGATATTCCGACCTCGAGAATCCGGAACCTCTGCTTTCTGGACACTTGAATTTCAGAACGTCAAAATAATCCCAGGGAGGAGTTGACTCAATAACAAAGATCATTGTTAGTAAAGAAAAGAATTAATCTCAACGATGTCAGGCGGTGGTACAGAAAACTAAACGAAATTTCAGTGTTATTGTGTTTGTCATGGATATAATGTGAGGTAACATGAATTTCCGCAACATATCAGCACATCACGTGACACCAGAAATGTACTTCCCGCACTATACGTATGTGTGGAAACGAACTCGGGTCTTCGGCGTGTCGAGCAAACCCCTTAACCACTAGGCTATACCATTTCCGACATAGCAGGGCCGGTGGGGTAGCCTAGTAGTAGAAGCGTTTGCTCGTCACGCCGAAGGCCCGGGTTCGATTCCCCAGATGGGTAAAATGTGTGAAACCCATTTCTGGTGTCCACCGCCGTAATATTGCTGAAATATTGCTAAAAGCGGCGTAAAACCATACTCACTCACTCACTCACTTCCACATAGCATGTGTGCGACAGGAGTATACTGTAAATTATTAAATGAATTTACAAACAATGACAACGCGTTGTGTTTCAACCCCTTATTGCAACGTGGCAGCCTACATTAATAATCAGGTGACGTTGTCAATATGTTTTCGATCGTCGTCATGAAACCAATTAACAACAAAATGCCATCACAATACCGCACTTCCATCGATATTCTAGAATCTCATTCATGTGTGCAATTGATCAGAACAAACAATGTTTAATAAATGGCTGACATGAACTTATTTCAGGTACCAAGTGTTAAAGGAGGCAAAGGATTGTCCCCGGCGAACTTGACGACGGAAAGTGGAATGGAGGCATTTTCTCTAAGCGTTACATCAACACACTTAACTTGGAACAGCTCCACTTCAGTGGAAGGACACGTGCGGGGGCTTCATTGACAGACCATTAAATAACAGTCAGCAATGTGCGTCATACTCTGATTATACAGCCTCAAGCTGGCACCAAGCTCAAGTGGATTCGTGGACAGTGTTTCGGCTTGTAATATGTAAAGTACGTTGGAGTTAAATCTAAACATTTCATGCTGTACATGCTTAAGAACTCTCTTTATTTTACTTCATGCCGACATAATCTTCCATGGTGTCAACTGTCAGTCAACAGCCTTACGATGTCGTGTGCGTGTTGATTTCAAAACAATACCGCTGAAGAGGCGAAATTGGGATGGTTTATTAATTTATTTGGAATGTATTGGCGTATATAACCTGCAGGGCCTGCTTTTCATCAGTAGAGATTGAGAAGCCTCAAGGAGTTTTGGCATACTGAAAAACGAGAACATAAGGCTTAAACATTGTGCTGGAAGAGTAATTATAGGGAATTCTGGTAGTACAACTATCTTGCGGATTCTGTTCGACTTATTAAGTGTATGAGAGCTCTGTGGGAGTTATTACTCGGGGTCTTCATCTTTCCTAATCAAACAACCGAAATGAACTTACCGGAGCCCGAAAGCGAATATTCTTCTACCCCAGAACCGGAATCTGAAACAACATCGGAACCGGAGTCAGTGTCAGAATATTTAAATTCTTCACCTGAACCCGAGTCTGAATATCTCAGCACGGAAGCTGAATACAGTTCCACATCTGAACCTTTGTCAGAATATCACAGCCCGGAACCAGAATACAGCTCCACATCTGAACCTTTGTCAGAATATCACAGCCCGGAACCAGAATACAGCTCCACATCAGAACCTTTGTCAGAATATCACAACCCGGAACCAGAATACAGCTCCACATCTGAACCTTTGTCAGAATATCTCACCCCGGAACCAGGATACAATGCCACATCTGAACCTTTTTCAGAATATGCCTCGTCTGAACCCTTCTCAGAGGTCTTTCGTCCTGAACCAGAATTTAACTCAACGTCGGAACCGTTTTCAGAATTCTATGCACCTGAATCAGAATATACCAGTCCCGAACCATATACAGAACCAGTGGCCGAACCAGAAGGATGGCCGGAACCGGGCCCAAACTGGCAGCAGTCATACCTGGAATGGCGCGAGGCATGGCCCCTGCATGTGTATATATTCGGACTGATTTACATATTTCTGATGTTTTCGGGATTCTCCTAATCTCGGCCATGTTCGCGGGCAACAAAGGTCAGCGCAGAAGCAAGACCACCATTGCCCTGAATGCAATGATCAGCTTCTTTGGTGGAACTCGTGCGCTGAATCTGTTCTTGGACCCTTATTCTTCTACAAACTCCGTCCCTTTTCTCTTCTCACACATGCTGTGGTCACTAGGATTTCCCGGACTGACGGCGTCATTTAGTATAGTACTCCTCATCCTGTTGGACACCACAAAGATGGACATCGCTCCCCCGAAATTCCAGAAGCTCGGCAATATCATCCTCATCACGACCATCCATTTCATCATCGTCTCTGTCGTTGACGTCCTTGTCATGTTTTTCGGGGCTCAGGTGAAGGCTCTGCTCGTGTTCTGTCAGATCCTGTTCGTCATCTATGGCTTGGTGCTGGCTATAGGATTCTCCTATGCAGGCTACATGATCAAGAGGAACCTCAGCGCATCTGACGGAGTTAAAGGTAAGTGGTTGGTAGTCTGGGGCTGCATTGGGGGACGCGTGGCCCAGTAGTTTGACGCACGCAGCTCGTTCTGTAGTGTTTCGTTTGAAACCAGAAAGCGATTATCGTGGGTTCGAATCCCGGTTCATCCCCGTTACGGCTTTCAGGTTTGTCCCGACCATTCACATGTTCGTCTCTCACACGAAAATGGTAAACGTTTCAGACATGCAGCGTCACCAGTTTCGCCATTAACCCACTTACTCACTCACTGATAGGCCAGAAAACATGAGCCTATTCATAGGCATACACAAAGGTCACGGTAGATCAGGAAAATGAAGGCCAAGCAGATGTGTGATGTTACGTGACGATGTTGTGTTGTGTGGGCGTACATGTGGCATTGTAGGTCTCATATGTAAAGTAAATACAGTTTAACACCGTTGTGTCGAAATTGGATCAGTGTGTATTCCATATTTAGTCATCTCGAGGTATTTATGTAGGTTCCTTTAAATTCGACACAACGACGCTTATACATCCGCATCAATCGCCGAAGAGAAGAGAATAACTGATATAGAAACACCATCATGAAATGAATCAATCCGGATGAGCACTTGTGTTACTGAAATTGAAAGATGAGTCTCATATATTAGGATATAAACTACAACCCAAAGGAAAGTAGAGAAAGGACATTATCCACTCATAATTAGTTTCTGGTTATTTTGTGGGAGCCAGCCGTGGACATGCAAGGGATACATGTTTCAAGTTAACAAGATAAGCTAATTGCAAGTGTTTACGTTCTTGTATATGAACTAGTGTTGGTAATTGGTTAAAATCTTATAATTGATGACTGGTCCATTTCAATCATCGAAAATAATTGGTTAGCGTCATTTATCAAATGTTCCTGTTATTTTTGTTAATGCACACAAAAATAAAGAAAAAAAGTCCATTTGCAAATTTTGCATATTTAAATGATGATTAGTATGTTAGGAACACATATTTCCTGGATTCTTTAAGATCAATTCAATCATGACTTGGAACGAGCTTGTACATGTAGTGCTTATGAAATGTAAATTTAATGACACAGACAAAACCAGCCTTGTGAAAAATATTGTTAATGCAAACAAGTGTTCCAAGATTGGTCGTGTTCGATTATGAGAAAACATGTTCGATTGCTTGGTCGTTTAGTCACTGCGACCAATCTTCGATTATTTCAATTAATCGGACCACCACTAATACACTGTATGTATCCCCGCGTACAAATAGTCAACCCTTGTCACCCTTGTTCTTTTTTCGCTTGACAAACTACTGGTTGATATTAAGAGCAACAAACAAAGCCATCCATGAAATGGAATAACCAAGTCAACGAGCGTTATCACTCGATTGTTTTTAATTTTTTTCTATCTGTTATCCATTCAATTATTTTTCACGGCTCTTTTGCCTTTGGACTTAATGACATTTGTTTGAACAATTAATCCTTAATGCATATTATCGGTTGTTGATGTTTTATATTTAATAGACATTGGGCAAGATTAAATCAGCATTGCGATTTTATCGTGAAACATATTCAAAATAGAGAGAGAAAGAAAATGTTTATTAAAGTGTCAAGTGCTTTTGCAATAAAATACAGTACATTACATTACAAACACAAAAAGCACCCGGCCATTTGGCCTATGATACACTAAAATCACAAGCATTATCACAGTAATACAATAAAATAAGAGAATACAAATAAAACACACCATTACATACATTCCAGATTAATAACATGATTATTTAATCACACAAAAGTTATAAAAACACTTCACCATATTGACGGAAACGTGCACACTCACACGCAAACAAGCAATTATGCACTCACTCAACCCCTCACGCAATCCTGCATTCACACACATCGTACAATCACGCACTCACATACACAATCACAGGCTTACGCTATGACATTCTTGCACAAACATGTACACGTGCATACGCAATAACGTACTCACGCGCACATACATACATACACACACTCACACACAAACACACACACACATGTCAGCATGAAGAAATCATAAACAGAAATGTGTTTCATACAGTTGATCTATGGGGAACCGAACCCGTGTCACACATCTGAGAAAGATGTGTTTGTGTGTGTGTTCGTGCGTGCGTGCGCGCGCGCGCGCGCGCACACACACTTCATTTTCACCCGTTTTCACAAGAGTTTCGACAGTTATTTATTTTATAGTTATTAACTTTCAGGACGGGTGGGGGATGTGGTGGTAGGGGTGCCGTGGTAGGGGCACCTCCTGCACCCCCCACCCCCCTCTCTGGATCGGTCTATGACTTCGCACAATCAAAGTGTAAATGGTGATGCGTTATGTATATCAACAAATACGTGTATCCGTGTATTATGTACATCAATGCCATTGACAGATAACTACATGTAATTACTTATGCAATTACCACGTGACTAATCCATCATGGCTGACACATTCCCACTGGTTTACCAATAAACGAGATCATAGTCACGTCAGCCATACAACCACCCTGACTGCAAGTGGGATGTTTATACAGTTTAACACGCTGTAAACACAATATATGCCCCTAATCTGACCAGTTGGAAGCGCCCGCGGCAACATAAGACGCAACCGTCTTCAAATGTTACGACAATCAACAGCATTATTTCCCTACACTCGAACTGGGTAATAAAGATTATTGTTCCTTCCCACCAGGTGGCGCGTTGTGACATTCTTACTCACTAGGTGGCGTGTTGCTACATCCTTGACCACTAGGGTGCATGCGATATTTTCTATGAAAACTGCGGAAACGAATTAGTGTTATAGTCTAAAAACATTTTAAACATTACATCTATTTTAAACATCTACGCAGATGATACTAACTTCGGCGTTGAGAATACTTTTATCTACGTAGATGATACTTAAATGTTATGACGTTGTAAGCTACTTAGGAAAAGGTATCATCTAGTATTAAATTATCGACTTTGCAACCTTATTTTCCCAATAATTGACAAATTATTGCTGGTCTGTTTTGTGTAACCTATGACTCAATTTATTTTTCATTGTTTAAGGCCGCACACAACAATGTCAGCTGTATGACGGTCTGGTTTAATTGATAATGAGACAATTGCGTGACTTTCAATCTTGATATGCTTTAATAAGGTACAATTAGAGCATAGTAGTAGCAACATAGTAACTCACTCATTCGTTCATTTAGATCTGTCGAAGTTTTGATGAATGAGTTTATTATAAATTTTATTTCACGCTGCTACTTTCAAATGATTAAAGTCGTAAAAATAGAAATATACTATAAAATGATATATTTGAATAAACTATTTTCAACGCTTGTTTACACTATATTAAACTAGGGTCGTAACTTCACAGCACAATATAACGGTCTCACTTACCCAACGATTATAACATCATCCACGCAGATGGAAATATCTGCAACGGAGATTAATGTATCATCTACGTAGCTGATAACAAACTAGCCCTAATAACCCTCCGTAGAAAACACGGTGAGGCTTCCAGCGGTCCGCATATCACATAATGGGGACAATGCCCCCTGTATGACGTTTTAAGTAGCAGTATGTTAACGTTGTCAGGAAAGGTATGTAGATCGCATCAGAGACCATATATATGTATTATATGGTCTCTGATGACATGGATGTCTCTGCGCGATATAAGACGCATTGTGTGGACATAAGTATAGCATATGCCACGTTGTGCTATTAGGTTATATCCCAAAACTTCCACATAATCAGTATGCTAAAGTGCGTGCAGTCAACAAGAAATGTTGTTGATATACGCTGTGAAGGTTTTGGGAGGATACCAGCTGATGAATGAGGATACAGCCTTTTCAAAGAGGGTGTGTTTCGTAATCTGGAAATATGCTTTTAGTAAACGTGTAATTGAGTTTAAAATATATTAGCAAATGGGTCATAGTGTTGTCATTGTTTATTGCTTCAGTATTCCGGCTAACTTATCATATTCCCGAATGTATTAATTTTGCAAACAAACAGATGCGCAACCACGATGTGAGATGAGGTTTGATATTGATGGCCTCCTTGACATCCCAATCAAATGAAATCACAAATCTCATTACCACTCGAGCTGTTTAGCTGTACATGTACTTTCACACACAAGATGAGGGCATTTATAAACTCCGTCAAAAAAGAAACGCAACCCCTGTATTTGAGAGATTTTGATCTGAAGTTTTAGGACGACACGGCATTTTTATTATTGAAGACAGAAGTCTGAAATTTGGCAGAATAATAACCCAGATGGGCATGTTTAAAATTGTCATTTCAAAAGTCATCTCACAGACACCAGTTTGTCACCAGGGGGGGCGTCTTTCTCAGTATCTCGTATGAGCACCACGCGCTGCAATCACTGCACGGCATCTCCTTGGACAAGAACGGATAAGACGCCGGATTCTTTCCTGGGGAATGGCTCTCCACTCCTCCTGCAGTGCAACGGCGAGCTGTTGCAGCGTCTGTGGCGGCGGCTGACGTTGACGTACGCGTCAATCCAGAGTATCCCACAGGTGTTCAATAGGGTTGAGGTCTGGTGATTTAGAGGGTTATGGCAAGACATTGACGTTGGAATTCTGCAGAAAGTTCATTGTTGCACGTGCAGTATGAGGCCGGGCGTTGTCCCGTTGAAAAATCTGTGTCTGTTGGTCAATAATCGGGAGAAGGGTGAAGCTCTAACACGTGGTTGATGTAACGTTGGGCTGTCAGGTTCCCTGGAACGATCACCAAGTCTGATTTCTGGTTGTATGAGATGGTTCCCCAAACCATGACGCTTTCTCCGCCAAATCTGTCCACCTGTCGGACGCAGATGGGCGCAAAACGTTTATGACGTCTCCTATACAGACGCTGTCTTCCGTCGTGACGTTGCAAAGAAAACGTGATTCATCAGAAAACCAGATTCGCCTCCAGTTTTGTAAAGTCCGTATCCTTACGTTGTTGCACCACCTGAGTCGTCGGCGTCGATGTAGGGGGCGTAGTACAGGTCCAACAACTGGTCTACAGGCACGTCAACCCGCTTCTTTCAGACGGTTCCTAATCGTTTGAGCTGACACTCTCCTCAAACCTGGTATTTGTGTGGCAGTCACGGTTGGTAGGGCATGCCGATTACGCAGGTGATGGACCCGGATGTACCGATCTTGAAGGGGGGTCGTGATTCTTGGCCTTCCACTTTTCGGGCGATCGTTGGTCAAATTGAAGTTGTTGTAGCGGCTCCAAAGTCGGGATATCGTTGTTTTGTGAACATTTAGGTGCCGTGCAACAGTTCCAAAACTTTCTCCGGCGAACACGACCAATGGCGATATTTCGGTCGGCAGCACTCAATCGTGGCATTTTTAACACAGCTTTTCGGCGACAAATGAATGAATATAATACGGAAGCACATGGGCTTTTATACACCCCTACATTAACTGCCATTTTCATGATTTGCATGTGTTTTTTTTGTGCGAAGTCACCATGAGGGTCATTTCATGCGTTGTGACGGAATAAGCAATAAAATACACTTATGCGTACAAATGCAGTTGTTTGGATGGTAATCTTCATTAATTACGTGTATCATTTCAATACATTCGAATAAAATTTAGTTTGGAAGCAATCACTTCATTCAAACGAATTTTTCATATCTGAGGACAGGGGTTGCGTTTCTTTTTTGACAGAGTTTATATTTAATAGACCCCAGATGTTCAAGTTCCTGTTTGATGGTGTAGTTACAATTATTTTCAGCTCTAGTTAGCATGGTTAACAAGGCAAACAAACCTTTTCGCTGACATTAGTATCACTGCTTTCAACACAAAGAAACGTTTCTACTTCGGTTCAGACATTTTATCTACATAAGCTAATCCTGAATCGGCTGATGTTTGTCAAAATTTCGAGAGAATGTTTTTGGTAAACATAGATTTATTAATTTAATTTCTCTCGAATATCTGTATCAAATGTTTATAGATCTTGTCCAAGTCGAAGATGGCACCGCAAAATGCTGCGCAGGGTTGAGTCCCTTGAGCACGAAAGCACCCTGTGATCGTGGGTTCCGGTTCGCCCTGATTATGTGTTTAGGTCTTACATTACCATGACCGTGTCTGTTTGGTTCACCAAAGATGTTAAAGTCTCAGGCTTGCATAGCTTTGGCTTTCTTCCCACATTCTGCTGCCACGCTGTGACATACGTGGAATCATTGTTCAGGATGGCGTTCAACCCGATAACTCATAGATACGTTTACTTACATTCCAGACGAGCAAACTCTGCGTCTTCTGCGACTGACCAAGACGATCTACATCTCCGCCTTCGTCTCTTTTTCCATCTGCGTCACCAACCTCTACTCCGCCGTCTCTGACTTTGGCGTGTTCAGCACCAAGGGCTTCGTGGAGTCATGGCCGTGGTGGATATTGCAAACAGTGCTGAGGTTGGAGGAAATAGCCGCGTCCTTGGTAGTACTGACCATCTTCATCAAGACGTCCCCAACGAAGACACTTGTCGGCTACTTCACCCATCTGTGTCCCAGGAGGTCAAACAGCATCAACACTTCTCTCAAAGAAAAGGACATTTCTGAACAGCAGTACACAGAGACGACACAAGTACCGAAAAAGGTGGCATGGATACCGACAACAGACACTGATCGGCATCGGGAAGAGTACTGTTGAGTCCATACTGGCACACCATGTTGGTGAGTTGGACAGCCAGTGGTATCAGAGAGGCAAATAGGTTCCTACTCTGTCTAAAGACGGCAACAGCATCATATTCCCTAATGGGTCCCTGAGTGAGGATGTTTAGAGGTCAGATTGATATCAAAGAAGGTTCTCTTATTTTACCTACTTCAGTTTTAATCTCTTTGTGATATTATCATTTTAGAAAGCTCACATTTGGCCACCTGAAGAACTCAGTTATCCTTCATGTAGATTGAGCGGTCAAATTCCCCTGCAGTATGAGTGAGTGAGTTTAGCTCTACGCCGCACTCAGCAATATTCCAGCTACATGGCGGCGGTCTGTAAATAATCGAGGCTGGACCAGACAGTCCAGTGATCAACAGCATGAGCATAGATCTGCGCTATTGGGAACCGATGACATGTGTCATCCAAGTCAGCGAGCCTGACCACCCGATCCCGCTAGTCGCCTCTTACGACAAGCATGGGTTACTGAAGATCAATATTCTAACCCGGATCTTCACGGGTCCCTGCAGTATAAGAAAAAGGACCACTGATGGAGTTAGAGAATGTGTATTGATATGTATATGAAACAATATACCTCTTCAAAAGCTAATAAATTTGATCCCGCGGGCGGGAGGTATTAGGAAAACAATTTGTTTGTCAAATGGGATCAACAGTTATATTAATATATATCTGAAATAGACTTGTCACGAACTTTGTTATAAATATGCAACACAGATATGTTGCAGAAGTTGCAATTTAGTTTGAGAAGAGATGTAACGATTTTTTACGTATTGTTTTGTCGTCTTTAAACTGCCGTGCGAAAGAAAATATACACCCGTGTTAGCATGAGTGAGTGAGTTTAATGTTACGCCGCTTTTTGGCAATAATGAGCAACATCACGGCGGGGGGACACCAGAAATGGGCTTCACACATCGGGTCTCGTGACGAGCGAACGCTTTAGCCACGAGAATACCCCCACCAACCCCGGCTGAAAAAGAAACAAGAAATGTATATTTGATAGCGATATGCTTGATACGGGTGTGGGAACGTGGGGTTGCCTAGTGGTTAAAGCGCTCATTCGTCACGCCGAAGACCCGGGTTCGATTCCTCACATGGGTACAACTGTCCATCGTCGACAGGTTTTACTCTTCAAAATGATTTCATTTTTTATTGGATAAATTGTTTTCGTCACGACATGGCTGAGATATTGCCGATGTGACGTTAAATATTAACTCACTCACTCACTCACATGGGTACAATGTGTGAAGCCCATTTCTGGTGTCCCCCGCCGTGATATTGCTGGAATATTGCTAAAAGCGACGTAAAACGCAACTCCCTCGCTGATACAGGTATCCCAGTTACGTTTCGACATAGTTTTCAGGCTGTAGCGACAGTTTTCATCCTAAGCAACGTTCTCATAATGTTAGCAATCTTTTGGTCAAATCAATTTTCAATGTATATTTTCTTTTGCCCGGGGAGGTCAAGAATGCACTTGTACATATATAAACACAACAGAAATATCAAATAATGTGACTAAAAGTTGACAGGACTCTCAAAATCTGCCAATACTATGTGCAATTCATAACTGATGTTGACATGTATATAATATTTATTAGTAATACTATGTATTTGTGCGTTCATTCAACATATATGTACGTTTTCATTCATATTATTTACTTACAGGTAATTCAAATGTATCACTAATGTAATTAGATATAAATCCAAGATAATTTTTTTAAAAAAAGGAAGAAAAAGACAAACCGTACAGGCCCCGAGCACAGTATCAAATAGACGATATGAGTGGAACATTCACTTTTAATAAACAACGAATTACCCTACTTCGACTTCCATACTCTACATTTTTGCCAAAATATTAGCTTTCGGGGAGCAGAGTGCACGTGGCTATTGTGTATGATAAATATAGTTTCATTTTTCAAAATATTTCTTAGAAGTATCTTTTATAAGATTTTAAACGCTAGGCCACTCAGCCATAAAGACAAAATGCATTTGTTATATTGCATGACGTATTTGTTATATTGCATGATGTATTTGTTATATTGCTGGATGTATTCATTTTGCTATATTGCATGATGTACTTGTTATATTGCTTGATGTATTTGTTATATAGCAAGATGTATTTGTTATATAACTTGATGTATTTGTCGATTAACACAAAACCTTCTTCGAGACGATTGTAGCGCTGCAATCACTTTTTCGATAGCGGGTGGCACGTTCGCGCTTTCAGAGTTGCGTTCCCTTTATCACCTTGTTTAATGGTGCGAAGTTAAAAAACATGCAAATGGATACCGCTGGGAAATATCTTTTCTCAAACTCACCCTCACAAATACTCATGAAACGGATGACACGTGATTCAAAGACACCAATGTTTAAGGAAAAATCACAAACTCCCCCAAACATAATATGTTTTTGTAGTTTTGACCCAAACCTTTTCCCTCCTTGAAATAACTAGTTTTCATGGTTGTATTCTCATGAAGTGAGGTGAGGTCGTTATGTGAGGTTGGGTTTAATGTCGTTTACGAGGTTATTTCCCTTAAGACGTGCATGCGCATGTGTGTGCGCCTGTGTATGTGCTAACACTCGTCGGGAATTTTGCGGTGTTATAGTGCTAGTTCATTGTTAGCACATTTGTGTCACATTTGCCATGAATTCTCCATTCGCATTCCAGGCACGTGTATTATTATGTAGGAAGGAAGGGTAAAAACAAATACCTCCTTTAAGAGTCTTTCCGCACGAAACGGCCAGGGGATCGAACCCCGACCTTCTTTTCTCTTGTTAGACGCTCTATCCACGGAGTCAGTAAGTGCCATACATTAACATCAACTTACGACTATCTTAGCGCTAAGAGAGCTTCCAAAATCTAGGCCCAGATCAGGACCCCAATCCACAAAGCGTTCGTAACGATACGACCTGTCGTAACTCTATAGTTTATCATAGGCTTACAAATGCCTTTGTGGATCGGGACCCAGGAGAATAACATATTTTTCCGTATTGCAAATCAATATTCCCATAATATTTCCCATAATTCAAAGATGTTCTTTGCAAACTAATTGGTTTCATGATACTCTTCGTACAATAAAGCACTGGCGATATTGACTGTTTACTTGTTTTGGTCATTTGCATGTAACAGTATCTCACATGATTCATGGTAGTTATGTTGTTTTTCCGGGTCCTCGATAGTTCTTGTTAATATTGGGAGTGGTCGTGTAGTATCACTTACCAAAATATGATATGGCTGTTGGTATAGCCTTTTCACAAAAACAAATAATACACGTATGTCGTTAAAATACATGAAGATTTATAACGCATATAAATAAAGCATAAATATTCATTATGTTTTTGTCAGCATTGAATTAACCTTCCAAATATGTTGCTAATGTACGGAAACTGTAAAATCGCTATTTGTAATGTGACAGAGGTATTTTTCCACCCATCTATTTTCAACGAATATTGTTGAAAGAAACATTAGGTTATTAATTACGTTATGCTTTGTGTATTTTTTAAAACTATTTTCTTGATAAATCATTTAAAAAACTATTTTCTTGATAAATTATTTTCCTAGTTAACACTACATGCAGTGATATAGTAATTTCATATTAAAATATGAAACTGTGTAAGAAAGAACTTCGGTCTGATTCTATATAATTAATATCTTTCCATCCAGAATGGAATATTGTTTTTGAATAATTCGTTACATCATTATTGAATAATGTTAGGTGTGGCTGTCATTGACGATGCGGTTCAGAAAGGTTATTACTTATAAAGTTTTTATGTGTATGTGCGGCATTATAATAATGCACTTTTGTATGCTTGTATTGGTTATTGTACTGAACTGTCGGTGGATAACGTCACAAGGAACACAATAATATAATTGGCCACTTGTATAGCGCTGAACGCCACTCTGCAGGGACTTGCACTAAGGGCACACAACATCATGGACATTACTTCCCTGCACAGCCCAAGCTGCCCGTGAGGCGCTAGATGGTTATTAATAGTCATATGACTTAGACCACCGGGTACCCATTTTCTGCTGGGTGGCAATTTTGAACAAACTTAGCATACAGCTTAATGTATGCGCAATGCAAGACAAGTAATTTTCAGGAAACATTTTTGCCAATGTTACCAATATTGATAAATTATATAAACAAATACATTATATTGTTTATTAGACTGGAAAGGTACATGCACAACAATAGTTGTATAGTTTGATTGTATAATGTGTATAGGCATGACGCTTTCGAATGTTGTTGTTTAACGCCGCACTCGGCAATATTCCAATATGGCGACGGCCTGTACATTATCGAGGTGAGGTGAGGTGAAATTGGGTTTTAACGTCGTGCTTGAGAATATTTCGCTCATATGACGACGTGCATGCGTGTGTATGTGTAGGTGCGGCTGCTTGTACTAGCCCAGACTTAAGCTGGTTTTATAGTGCTAGCCCACTGAGATACCATGCCGCAGAGAAGCATGAGTACCCCAGTCAGACACATTATACTGACTCCAGAGCCGACCAGTCCTTGTTTGCACCCATTAATGCCGAGCGCCAGGCAGGGACCAACAAATTACCATATTTTAACGTCTTTTGGTATGACGCGGTCGGGGATCGGAACCACGCGACCTTCCGCTCTCCGGGAGGACGCTCTTACCACGCACACACCACGGAGGCGGTTGTACATTATCGAGTCTGGACAAGGCAATCCAGTGATCAACAGTATGAGCATTGATCCACATGCTTGTGGATCAATGTGCATGGTTCGAATATCATGTATTGGAACTACGAGTATTTTTTAAGGGGATATTCAAACTTCGTTTAGACAAAGATTTATTGCAATTCTACCTAGATTTTTTTTATTTATAATATTTCGAAATAATGCCTGACTTTGAAACTGTGGTGTAATTCTTCTACAAAAGAGCAAAACAATATTCAGCTATTTTATTGCGATATTATTTATTATATTATCTTTTGAAATTGTTGAACATTTTGTAAATGAAATAATAAACTGTTTTCCTGTTTGATGTTATAACGTTTGTGCTGGTCACGTTTTTCAAATATTTCCATCATGGAATTGATCATGGACGGATACTGGGGTTTGTTTATTTGGTAATGAAGTACAGCCAAGTGATATGTGAGAAAATACGACAGACTAATGGTGCCAATTTTGTAGCATCATATATGTTTTTCAGCGAAATGTCTCCTTATTGTATTTCATTTGTGAATATTTCTCGTAATTTCAGCTATATTTTGGTTAGTTCTGGTTTCTTAAAACTAAATTTCGAGAAAATACTCGAATTACGAGAAAATAATAGGAGTCAGAGAAAGACCAG